GCCAACGCCACGACATGCAAGGTTGGTAAGGCTGTCTTTCTCCTTAATGTAACGCCTTGATAATTGAGTTATAAGTGACATGTCAGTTGAGTGACATGTAATCGGCGTCACTTTGTGATACCTGCTCACACATGTAGCGCTGTGTGAAAAGGATAGAATTGAGGAGGTGGGTGAGGAGTGGGCAGGATATGCACGGTCTGAGGAAGACGACTACTTTTGCTGCATTTGTTCACGACGAAAGATTCGCGGGTCATTAGGTTGAGTGTGAAGCTGGAATTGCTCTGACTGATTGCAACGCACCACTCGGCATGCAAGGATTGCAGGATTGAGTCCACTGCATCGCAAAGAATTGTCATGGAATGAATAGAGGAGTAGATTTGCATGCATCTAGGTGGTAGTTATAAGAACACTTGACACGCCTGTGCGGATTACGTAGGAGATAAGGCGTCTTTGCCATCGCCACTTCGATTGCCTATACTTCCACAAAGTGCTGAAAACACTTTCCACTGCTCCGAGAGGAGGATCGCGTTCGCATGCATATGCTCATTCACGTTCGCCTTCACCATCATCCCATCTCTTCTCTTCTTCCTTTCTTTCCTTCAATCAGTGTGCGATTGAAAACTGCTGGTGCACTGGGCAGCCATGTTGCCAGTGAAGAGGGGCACCATGATGTCGCTTCCACCACCGGATTCGTCTGTCTAGGTGACCAGTGTTCCTGTCATTGCTGCGTTCAATGAGAATCTGATCCACGGAGAGAAGGCACCAAAGCGAGGGCACCTGGAGGTTTGGCTGGAAGTGCACGCAGATGACACGTTGTATTGCGTGGAGTCGGAGGGCAAAGTCGATATCGATAGGGCTGCAACGGCTTGTGAAGGGAGCACGGATTAATGGAGGCGCTTACATATCGTGCCAACATGCTTAATGCGTTGAGCAAGGTGGTTACTCATGCTGCAAGTAGCAGCATTCAGCGGTCGGTAGCATCCGCCTCCACTGTTTATGTCAGAGTGCTGATGAAGCATCAGCAGAAGCAGCTGTTCCATTTCCTCTCCACTTTGGACCATTATGGCAATCCACGCCATTCTCAAGCAGCTGCAGCCCCTTCCACTCTTTCTTTTATTCATCAGTAATCCAACGGTGAGTGGAGAGGAGGTTGGGAGAGGGGATTATCTGGAATGGGATGAAACGGAGCGAGTGCCTACGGCTTGCAACGCTCTCTACTAGCACGGTATTTAGACAACACC